GCTTCTTGACAGGGTCAAGCTTCTTAAGTATTATTGGAGCTGCACTTTCCAGACAAGTGAGGAGAATTCTATCACACCCCTTACTTATGACATATAGGTGATGGACAGGCTTTGGGAAGTTAGGAGGTCAGTTACTTGCTGCAGGATTCTTAGAATTGACCTGTTCTTATACTTTCTCTACACAGATGTGTCAAGTTGCTGTTGAGATTTTCCAGCAATTTCTGTTTTTGTTACAAAAGTAGAGAGGTTATGCTTCAGTTGTACAGAGCATTGGTGAGACCATATCTTTAGTACTGTGTGCAGTATCGGTCTCCTTATTTAAGGAAGGGTGTAAATGGCAAAGTGATGGCCGAGTGGTATTATCACTGGACTGTTAGTGCAGAGACATTTTAAAAAGACATGGAGATAAGTACATGAATAAGAAATGTTTGGTGGTGTAGTGATTGGAACCAAGTGGATCTTATTGATTATGAGATCTTGATTGGAGTTGTTATCCTATGCCAATCAGGGAGCCCTGGCTGACAGATATAAACAGGGGGTTCAGAGAGTCTACTGACTTCAGGGATTGACTGCTAGCTGGCTGGCCACAGCCATTGTACTGTAAATAAAGGGTGACTTGGTGACAGGATACTGGCCTCTGTGCAGTTATTTCAGGAGGGATATGGGCCAAGCATAGGCAGATGGAACTAGTTTAGCTTGGGATTATGGTCAGCATTGACTGGTTGGACTGAAGGGTCTGTTTCCCTTTTGTATAACTCTATGACACTATGTCCCAGTTAATGTTCTTGGGACCTAGTTTTAAATAGCACCACGGCAGATGGTGGAATTTGAATTCAATATTGAATTGAATTCAATTGAAGTCTGGAAGAGTCTAACAATGACCATGAATCCATTGCCAATTGTCAGAAAAACCCATCTGGTAATCAAAAAAATGCATCAGAAGCAGTTCAGTCAAGGTTCAGTAGACATTACCCAAAATAGGCAGGATGTCTTATAGGGAAAAGTTGGATAGGCTGGATAGGCATCTGCTGATGTTTGAAATGGTTTGAAATCTGCTGGTGATTGATTGAAAATTGCAACTTGATTGAAACATATAAGATTCTGAAGGGCCTCGAAAGGATTCATGTGGAAAGCACTTCATTTGTGAGCAATTCTAGAATTACAGGTAGTTGTTTCAAAGTAATTTACATAAAAAATTTAAAATGAAATTTATGGCTCATGGTAGAGATAAAGAGAAATCTTTTCTTGCAGAGATTGGTGAAATGTAAGAAATCTTCCTTGAAAAGTTGAATCTTTGAATATATTTAAGACAGACATTCTTGATGAGCATGGGGGTGAAAAGTTATTGGGATTAGGTGAGAATGTGGAGTTATCAGTTCAGCATGATCTTATTCAATGGTGGGGGGTGGTGCTAATGGCATGGTCCTGCTTTTACATTCTGAGTTCATATTAATGCGAGGAAGGAAATTTTCCATAACTGTTGTGATTTTCAATTTGTAATTTGTTGGATTCAGTGCATTATTGGAAATTTGCCCTGGACTCAGGTACAACATCAAGATTGTGAATGATCTGGTTCTGCCTCAAGACAGTGGTCAATAAGGCAGATTGCTCTGGTGGATAGGAACCTGAGTTTTTAATGCATTTTGAACATAGAAACAGGAGTAGGCCATTCAGCCCCTTGAGCCAGTCTGGCCATTCAATGAGTTCTTTGCTGACGTAGGCCTAACCCCATATAACTGCTTTTGACCCATAGCCCTTAATACCTTAGCTTAACAAAAATCTATGTATCTAAGATTTAAAATTAACAACTGATGCAGCATCCACTGCAATTTGTGGAAGTGAGTTCCAAACCTCTACCTCCCTTTGTGTGTAGACAGCCTCCTCACATCTCTCCTGATCCTCATTCTCAGACAATGCCCCCTAGTTCTAGAAGTTCTAACCAGTGGAAATAGTTTATCTTCATCTATCCTGTCTTTTCCTATATTTGAAGACTTCAATCAGATCACATTGTAATGTTCTAAATTTGAGAGCAAATGCCCAATTTGTATAATTTCTCCTAATTACTTAGCCGCTGAAGTCCAGTAAACCTATATTGTATTCCAAGGCCAATGTATCCTTCATAAGGTGTGGTGCTCAGATCTGCTCACAGTGTTCCAAGTGGTGTCTAAACAGGGTTTTATAATAACTGCAGCACAATTATAGCATAACATCCTTGTACTCCAGTCCTCTAGAAATAAAGGCCAGCATTCCATTAACTTTCTTGATTATTTTCTGTACCTGTTTATGATACTTTAAAGATCTTTGCACCTGGATCTTCACATCTCTTTGGACATGCACCGTGTTTAACTTGAATACATGGTTTGGTCTTTCTCGTATTTAATTAAAAGAAATTTCTGCTGAAGTCGAACCTTGATCCTGTCCTGGAAATATTTCACTATTCTTTTAACTTTGCCGCTTTAAAATCCTGGAATTCCCTACTTAACAAAACTATAGATGTAGATGCAACACACAGACTGATGCACTTCCAGAAGATAGCTTACCATTATCCTTTCAGGCATATTAGGGGTGGCCAATAAATTTTATCCTTATTACCAACACATATATTTCCTCCACTGTGGTAAGTAATTGACAGTGAAGGATTTGAAGAGTTGGTAATGAAGTGGATAGGATCCTGCATTATGGTTAATGGGTTAGGGTTAGAGTTATCATACATGGATCCTGATGTTGTGATTTCCAGTGAATTTGTTAAGGAGCAGCATATATAGAAGAAATAAAACGGACCCAAAGACAGATCTTTGCAGAGCACCAGAAGTCATGATTTAGGAGTCTGGATAAGAATAAATATATTGCTTTTACTATGTTGAAGCCCAAATCATCTACAGACAACCTGCAAACAAACACAGAAAATGTTGGAGGAACTCAGCAGAGATTACACCCTATCACTCTTTCACCGCAACTGACAACCCCTTTGTCTTTTGCACTCAGTCTTCACACCAACTCTTCTTCCCTCTCGCTGCCATCTTTGTCAGAAACATTTAAAAAACTCATTTTAAAACACCTTTCAGGTTGGAAGAAGAACAATACTGGACTCAGAACGTTAACCATATCTCTCTCTCAACAGATGGTGCTAGACCAGCATTTTCTGTCTTTGTTTCAGATTTCCTGCATCTGCAGTAATTTGCTTTTATTTATCCAAGAACAAAACTTGGACACAAATGGATCCCTGGGGTAAGTCATCTAATGTTTTGCTTAACAACTTTTTCCTGGTGGCAACTGACTTGTAGTTCCCCTTAGTCAAACTTCCTGAGTTTTCTTACATGCCCCTTGCGGGAAACTTAAATCAGATATGCAATAATTATAAATGTACAATTATATAATCACATTCTCTTTACTGAATTGGACATTTGTCAAAAGAAAGCTTTTAAACATAAGTTGCTTTCATGATCTCTTATTGACAGTTTCCATTAAACAATCTATTTTCAAATGCTATTTAATTTTACCTTAAATCAGGGATTGTAAGACTTTAGGCATACCTGACATTAGTTTAAACAGTCCATAATTATTTATAATTCTGTGCCTTCTTGAATAGTTAAATCATCAAATACAGCTTGCAATACATCACAATGCCATTAATTGACAGTAAATGCAGCAATATAACGTGACACCAAAATAAAACAAAGAATGTGGATGCTGGGGATCTGAATCAAAAACAGAAATTGCTCATGAAACTCAGCAGATCAGGCAGCATCTTCGGGAAGAAAGCAGAATAAACATTTTGAGTCTGATGATTCTTTATTAGATGAAGAGTATGTTTTGTTGAATATAATATCACAATTTGCACCTTCTTAAAGTGCAATTTTCATTTGAAATGCAACACATTAATTCTGGAAATTTAGTATATTTTGAAAGCAAGATGCTCCTTAAACCTGTTACAGAGATAGTAGGAATTGCCGATGCTGGAGAATCTGAGATACCTTGCTCCTTAAACCTACCTCTTTGTCTAAGCTTTAATGCATCTTCCTTTCACTAAATGTCAGGTTTTCTTTTGTTTTCTGCTTTTGTGAAGGATCAAGTGACATTTTACTGTACCAAAAATGTTTAAGTACAAGTCATATGGTTGCTGTTATGCTGCCTTTTGTCACTATTCACTGAGTCAGTTAGTACAGGTAGCATGCCACATTTCTTCTCTAGGCTGAGATAGTTTATGTTGTAGTAAATTTATGACAATTCTCTTTGAGATGGTAGAGAAAATTAATAGAACTTTCTGTTCCTTGTCAGAATCCAGTCACAATGCTTGGTAGGACATACGTGTACAAATTGGGCACACTTGATCAGGTTTATTTATGTTGCCACTCTGAGCAGTAGTATACAATAATCAACATCTGCATTCATACATGCTGAATAAAACAAATTTGCAGCTGAAGTAAGAGATGTCTAGGACTCATTTAATCTTGCTGTGTTCCTTCAGAAAATATTGGAAGGGGCAGGGGGGAAATGAATAAGTGAATTAAACATGCTAGCAAATTAATAACAAATAGGAAGGTAACTAGCGACCAACATTTTATACTTTCTAGAATGTCTACTGATATTTGTGTTCAACTATCCTCTTGCTATCCCTGTTGAACCCACTATTTCAGAGCAGACATCATCAGCTGCTTAACCTTTTCAACATCACATTTTGTCATAATAAAAGCTTGATTTTCTTTTTGCAGTAGGTTAAGTGTATCCACAATCATCATCCCTCTGGTCACTGAACCTTGCAACTCCACGCTTACACCATATCGTATGTGTTCTGTGACAACACTCTCATCAATAGCAGCTGCCATTGCAAATGAATCACAGGACAGAAATCCAGGTCCAAAATACATCTCTGTACCACCTTGCTTGCCTTTGGAAAATTTTTCACTGTGTGCAGTTATCTTCTTCATGAAGCAAGCTTTCTCGGTGTCTTGGTTTACCCACTCCTCAAAAAACTCCTGCAAATGGACAAAATGATAGGCTATTCACTTTTCACAACTTCCAAGTCGTCTCCTCTACATTCCATATTATCAAAACGAAAAAATAGCTTTCAAAATATTGTTTTTACTATCAATTGCCTCGTTATTTATGACAGTGAACATCTTAATATGTTGACATCTTTCCTTATAGTTACTGGGTAAACTGTGCACTAATTTTATAAGAGACCAGCTGTGAAAAAGCAAAAAGTCTAATGATGTGAAAAATACAGGTCTATAATATTCTATTGGCAATTATTGCATTAATTTCTCTCATTATAATCCAAATAATTAATATAAGCCATAAACTTATAGTCCTCTACATTTGTAAAATAATTCAACAACTTGTGACTACAACTGTAATAGTGGGACAAATACTTGAAGAGTATAAACTATAGAATTAAGGGGAATGTTTGATTACTCTACCAAACTGTCAGGGAGACGTGACAGTTGAATGGCCTTCTAGAAGGCGACGACGGAGTAGGCAGCATTCAAGCACCTGTGCCCCGGGCCCGTCCATTCTGTCCACTTTTTTAGTCTTCTTTTATTTTCTCTTCTTTTTCATGTTTCATTTCTCCTTTTTCTCTTCTTTTTTTTGGTGGAAGGTGGTATGAAGGCATCTTTGTCATGACCCAGAGAGTGGTGGCAGCCAATGAGCCCACCATGAGACCCGGAGAATGGTGGTGAGGCTATTGAGCCCAGAGCATGACCTGGAGAATGGCGGTGAGACAGTTAGTGAGTCCGGAGTGTGGCTCTGGAATTAGCGTCAAGGAGGCAGCTGGCAGACGAGTAAGCACGGGGACCTGGCATTGGCTGCTACATCAGTGGAGGCTGGCAGCAGCCATGGCATTGAGGTGGTTTTGGCCCAACATCCTTTCGGCGGCTTTTGCGATGTCTTCTTTCCCGGGATCAGTGACGAGATTCATCCTTGGGGTGGCTTCTGTGGTGTCTAGCGGCCCAGTATTCCAGCGGCCTGACGCGGATGGCCTGCTGCAGAGGTGGGTTCCATTCCAGTGTTCCATTCCAGCCTGGCATGGCTGTCTTGCAGCAGAACTGTCTTTTTCTGAACCCAGGAGCCGGGAATTGAACTAAAATGGACTTGGTCTCAATTTTCATTTTAATTTCTTCTTCTCTATGCCTTGTCTTATTAATATAGGCACTGTGGCAAGGCAACTTAATCATTTTTCACTGTTATATTTTGTAAAAAATTCAAGTGACAATAAATGACTATTCTATTCTATTGTTCTATGCTGCACCATTCTCTGATTCTAAGAAGTGAAGTAGAGACAGTGACAGTGGAATTCAACTATATGGATCCGCTTTTGTTTGCACGACAGAAGTCCTAAGTCCTGAACATAGTATATGTCAGATGGATTTGTTTAGGTCTCTGACAATGCAACCTGCATGGTGCAGCCTGATTGTCAGACCTTGGCATGAATGTCTGCTCAAGACTTGCAAAGTGGCAGAATCTCTTGGGCTACAGCATGATTTGGAAAAGGAACATAAATAATAGAGGTGGAAGGCAATTGCAGAGGGAGGAGAACACGAACCAGAACAGGAGTCTTATAGACACTAAAGTTCCTGAAGAAATATTCTTCCAACTTCCACTCAGCCAGGTGCAGTGTCTGAAGTGAGTGAGTCTCATCAACAAAGTAATTATTGATCCTCCTGCAGCCAAAGCTGCAACGGTACTGCAAGGTGTGAATGATGCTGCCATTGGCAGTGACAGATCATGAAGCTCCTGACAGGATGTTGCAACATTCCCTTCCAAACCAACAAGTCACCATAACATCTCCAAGATCAGAGCAAAGTTAATGGAAAAGCAGCTAGTTGGAGACCTGATCCTTTAAATAGTTCTCGTGAAGCCTCCCTCCTGCATCTCTAGTTGTCTATCATCATCATGCATTGTATTACATTGACTAAAATGGTCCAGGTTTTAAAAAGACACAGTTAAATCTGCCTGAGAATCTATTTGACCTCATTATCTGCCCTCTACAAATATTTCTGGAATACGCACAGCATACTTACAAGAATGACCTTCCCAGCATGAAGCGCCACCTATGCTCTGTCAGAAGTGACCAGAATCACTCTACCTGCCATTTTGAGGATATCCCTTTATCCTACTTTAAGTATCAGCCTCAGAAGCATTACACAACTGAATTTTGAGGCCTTTTATTTTCTTCCTGATGCAAATTTTATCATTTCTTGAATATTTCTTTACCTCCTAGCTGCACTTTGAAATGTAAGAATTATTCTTCAGATCTCAGCATCAGTCTTTTGTAGTTGTCTGTAATAATTAATGAGTGGCAAATGTACAATGTTTACCTCTTTACAGCAGGTAGGTAAAAAAGTCAGTTGGGGATACCAATCTAGTTTTAAGCTGCCACAGCATAGCACCATCTTAATTTCAGCTGATCTGAATTTCATTTTTAGGATTAATGTCTTTTTCAGTGCACGTGCTCTGACAGCAGATAAATAATGTGACAAATAGCCTCGAAATTGCTGCCAATGACATCAGTGCACAAGTGATTACTATATTCTTATAATTGTCTTTCATATGTGAATTCCATCCAGACATTTTTGTTTGTATTTAATGCTTCTATTCAAGCAGTCTTGTGAATGCCTCATGTATGTCTGCTAAACTACCAATGTCAAATTCTAACTTTTATTTTAAAAAAATCAATTGTCTTCAGTTTTTAAAATACATTATTATTTGATATTTTTCTCCAAATAATGTGCTGACATAACCCATACATATGCAAAAAAAATGCATGTCTATTTTTAGTTTTTGATTTTATGTTTACAATGTAATTCAACAACTTACCCAAGGCAGTGCCTGACGAAGACAATATTCCCAAGTTGCAATATACATGGGGCATGCAAAATGATTCAGGACAATATAAGCTGCTTCAGGATCTGTTGCAAAGTTAAACTCAGAACACATTGTTACATTGCCCCTGCCTGAAAATAATAAAAATCTTCAAATGAAATTAATTCCATCACAGCTTTAAAAGCCTCTTAATCTTATCAACTTTAACAGTGGTAAAAATAAATGTTTAGCATTTAAATTAAAACATAAATACTGCATGGAATTATCAACTATCCACTATAATAAAATGCGTTCACTTTAAGAAATCAAATGCCCATTTTACGCATTTTGAAAATGTTGCCATGGGAGACATTAGTGCAATATTGGTCAAATATTACTATTAAACTCAACTTAACTTTCAAAGGTTAAATTCACAGATTATTAGGCCTGAGCCACATAGATTAGGATTTAGATGTAACAAGTGCTGCAATAAAGAGGTTCTGCTCAAGGCAAAAGGGCAGAGTTTAGAGAAGCCATTATGTTTAAGGCATGTAAAACAATCCACTGATATGACGAAGTGGAATGTGTTCCTTATCTTATGTGCTTACAAATACAGCTTTCGTGATTGGAACAAATGGTTCTCAAATAAAGCACATATTGATTTGTAACAAACTTCTTTTCACTAACTATGTAGTCACTCCACCTTTGAAGATTGAAATACAAGCGAAAGACATAAATATCTTGTTGGGGTACATTTGGTGCACTTGGATCATGCTATTATACGAGCAGCTATTTTGGAATTTGGGAATTCAGACAGTTTATTAGAGTGCTATCAGTGTTGGCAAAGGAGGGGTGTGCACAACATGTAGGCAAACTGCCAGGTTATCCTAGACAGGCCTGTCCTCAGGCTAGGTTTGGGATTCTTCTTGCCTGGGTACATTGTTCTTTCTGGAGGGCCTCACCAGCGGTAGATTATCCCCACAGGAAGAAGCCCTTGCCTTTTAAACTTACCCTCATCCTTGACCACTCTAGAGCCTGATTTTCTAATCCCTGTGAGGCCAGGCTCCCTCCAACCTCTGCCAGCCTCTGAATGACTGGCAGCTTTTGGAGAGTCCCACAAGACCTGGGCCCCTGAAGGCAGGTGAGGAAGTAAGAAGCATATGTGTGGTCACTCAAATCTATTTACAGTTTCCTAGAGGTTCAGTGAGTGCAGACGTAGTATCCCACACTCAATTATCAATTCCCAGACTACTTTCCTGGCGTAGGCCTGAATTACACTCTTTTGATCATCATACTTCGCAACTCCTATCATTGTTTCTCTCACTCTAAGAACTTCTTCACAAACTCATCAGAACAGGAACACGTGGGAAAGTAGTGGCATAATGATATCATTAGGCCAGTAATCCAGGCCACCGAAAAAATATGGTTCACATCCCACCATAACAGACACAGGTCAGAAATGAAACTGAATACTCTCCACTTTTGCCTGATGGATGCAGCGCCAACAACATTCAAGAAGCTTGATACAATCCAGTACAAAGCAACCTGCATGATTTGTACCCCATCCACCACTTTCAACATTTAGTCCTTTACCACCACCACAGCAATGTGTCTACAACCATCTACAGGATTCAATGCAGCAACTCACTCAAGCCTCCTACACTGTAGCTGGGACAAAATTCTGGAACTCCTTTCCTAACAGTTCTCTGGGTGTATCTACAGCACAAGAAGGCAGCTCACCACCACCTGCTCAACGGCAATTAAGGTTAAGCAATAAATGCTGGCCTAGACAGTGATGCCCTTTATAAAAAAATTCACCACCTTATTGACATCCTTTACCCATCCTTCACAGTCAGCTTCTGCAACCATTGCCACGCCCTCTCCTTAATACAATCCATCTTTCACAATCAGCTCTTCTCTATTTTTATGAGAGAATATGGAATTCTAGGGAGAGGCAGAGAACTGCAGGTTGTTCCCTGGCAAGGGATATATTGATGGCCATTGGAAGGTGCACACACCCCCCAGATCCACTGTGGAGGAGGCATTGATTCATGAAAGTATAGATGTCAGCATTGAGCTGCTGCAATAGCCTGAACCTTAGAAAGCATTAATTCTCAGATGTGCTGAAAGATCTGATCCTCTGTCACATCTTTCCAACTGGATCACCGTGACCACTCTTTCTATCCAATGAAGTGACCTCTGCAAGTGGACATGGCAGCCACTGTTGCTGCTCCTCGTCCACGTAAAAGACCAAAGTTTGAGTTGAATATGCTGCTATCATGTCGCACAGAAATTGAGATCATGGTGAGTGAATTACGAAGTCGGTAAGATGATTTCCAAAAAATTGGAATTTGCCTGAGAAACAATAAAATCAGACTCTCACAGCAAATAAAAGCACATATTATAGATGGAGGAACAGGTAGTGTTGAGGAAGCAGGGAGGACTTGGACAGGTTAGGAGAGTGGGCAAAGATGTGGCAGATGGAATACAGTGTGGGATGTGTACAAGATTATGACTTTGGTAGGAAGAATAGAAGCATAGACTATTTTCTAAATGGGGAAAGGCTTCAGAATTCTAAAGCACAAAGGAACTTAGGGGTCCTCCTTCAGGATTCTCTTAAGGTTAACATGCAGGTTCAGTTGCCAGTGGGAAGGCAAATGCAACGTGAGCATGCATTTCAAGAGGGCTAGAATACAAGAGCAGGGATGTACTTCTGAGGCTGTATAAGGCTCTGGTCAGACCTCATTTGGAGCAAAATGGGCAGTTTTGGGCCCCATATCTAAACAAAGATGTGTTGGCCTTGGAGGGGGTCCAGAGGAGGTTTAGAAGACTGATCCTGGGAATGAAGGGCTTATCAGGAGGAGCAGTTGAGGACTCTGGATCTGTACTAGATGGAATTTAGAAGGATAATGAAAGATCTGATTGAAACTTACAGAATACTGAGAGGTCTGGATAGAGTAGGCATGGAGATGTTTCCAGCAGTAGGAGAGATTAGGACCCAAGAGCACAGACTCACGGTGAAGGGATGATCCTTTTGAACTGATATGAGGAGGAATTTCTTCAGCCAGAGGGTGGTGAATCTGTAGAACTCATTGCCTGCAGAGGCCAAAACGCTGAGTATTTTTAAAACAGAGATAAATAGGTTCTTAGTTCATTAGGGGATCAAAGGTTATGGGGAGAAGGCTGGACAATGTGGTTGAGAACAATATGAGCCACTGAATCGTGTAACAGACTCGATAGGCTGAATGGCCTAATTCTGCTCCTGTATCTTACGGTCTACTGCAGATGCTGGAGATCGAAGAAGAGTCATTTTGGACTCAAACATTAATCGTTTTCTCTGTCCACAGATGTTGGCAGGCCTGTTAAGTTCCTCAAGCATTTTTTTCACACCACGATTCTTGTGGATACAAACCTTTCACATAGGTTGGTTGACTCTCTCTATTTAAAGGACTTTCAGCCAGCTAGTTTTACTTATCAATGACTTGCTACTGCATTCTCACCTCATCGACCATGGTGAATTCTACACTGCTTGAGAAACCTGTGTGCTGGTTGTTAAAGTCAGAATCTTCATACAATCAACAAAAAATTGGCTATTTAAATAATTAAATTACATGATCACCGGATCTGTGTGGTTCCCACACTCATCCAACCAGAATCCAGAAAAAGCCAGAAGTAGACAGAATCATGCTGAATTCCCAAACTGCCAGTCTTTTCAGTACTTTAACCTCCACTTGCACCATTTCCACCACCATCTGCATCACCTACTGCCCCCTTGCCACACTCCATCTCTATCCTCCCCACTCTAGTTTTAGGAGTTAAAATTACACTCATGGAATATGTTGTACACAGTGAGTTAAATTTCTTCTCTAGAGACTATTATTTTCAGAGTTTCTCTAATAACTTATTGGATAACTATATGGACGATGAGCTGGTAATCCATAAAGACCAGAAAGCAATCACCTTTGATTGATGTTTGCTCCTGTCAGCTTGGGGAACGTAGGAGAGAAAAACAGCCCACACTACCTTCATATTGAAAGTATGGGGATTTCAATATGAGATAATAATCAAGTCAGGTTTAGGTATGAAGCCACATGACCTGGATAGAATGATGAAAAAGCTGTATGACATACTTTCCATGTTTCCTCCCATGATGTATAGATGTCTCAACTTTGCTGGAAAAGTGGGATCCATTTTAAATGCCAGGGCAACATTGGTGAGGGGGCCAATAGCCACAAGAGTGACCTGTTGAGCAAAGAATAAATTCTTAGCACAGTGACGGACAGTATTGTTATAGTTGGCTTGTACAACTGGGAAATACAACAGATACTGCAATATAGAAGATCATAGAATCCCTACAGTGTGGAAACAGGCCCTTCGGCCCAACAAGTCCACACCGACCCTCAGAGCATCCCACCCCCACCCATCCCCCTGTAATCTACCTAATTTACACATCCCTGATCACTATGGGCAACGTAGCATGGCCAATCCACCTAGCCTGCCCATCTTTGGACTGTGGGAGGAAACCGGAGCACCTGGAGGAAACCCACGCAACAAGGGGAGAATGTGCAAACTCCACACAGACAGTTGCCCAAGGGTGGAATCAAACCTGGGTCCCTGGCACTGTGAGGCAGCAGTGCTAACCACTGAGCCACCATTCATTCCTTTTTCAGTTTTGCAGAGTCCTTGTACCAAGAATTAGATTTACATTCTGGTTTGTTTCATCAGTAGCTTGAATTCCAACCTGACATTCAAACATTCTTGTTGGACAGTCCTGTCATCTCATTAGAATCAACTTTGTGCAAAATCAGACATCATCAGTCATGCCCCACAAAAAGACCAAGGAACTATGGATGCTGGAAAACAGAAGCAAAATCATAAATTGCTGGAAAAACTCAGCAGGTTTGGTAGCATTTTTGTGGAGGGCAAGCAGAGTTAATGTTCTTTAGAACCTGAAGAAGGAGCACTGGTCCCGAAATGTTAACTCTACTTTCTCTCTACAGATGCTGCCGAAGCTGCTGAATTTTTCTAGCAATTTCTGTTTTTGTTGCCCACAAAAATTATTGGCCATATTGGAAGACAATCTCTGAACAGCTAGATGTGAATAGTGTTGTTGGATATCTACTCCACCTAGCTGGCTGTGGGAGATGGTTGTTACTGCAGAATGAAAATGCATTTTAAAGTTTCCACCTAAATGAAGTGACAAGGTATGGAGAGAAACTAGTTCTTCTTATGAAGGAGTACAGTGTAAGACATTAAAATTAGATCTAAGTCATCATTGGTGTTGTCGGAAAATACATATTCACATGAATTGTAATGATAATCTACAGATTTTGCCCTAAAAGGCTGTTGAAAACAGTTATGTTGAAAGATTCATAACTGAGTTAGTAATTTTTTTAATTAGGTAAGTGTTTAAAGGGTTACAGAATCAAGGCATTAGATGACATTAATATGCCCATTAGCCATGACCTGCTTGAACAGTGAAACGGCTATCAGGGGCTAACTTAGCTGGTCCTGTTCTCTGTTCATCTGACTACTAGAACTTTATTTCCTGGTGCACATCCATCTCACCTTACCAGCATGTTCAGTGGCTATTCTTATCATGGCATTCACTGCATGTTCAGCTTGTATGTGTTCCAACCCCGGAGCATTAGGATCTGGAACATCACCCAGACCATCCTTTCCATGGTAATGATCCGCATTTAACTGATGTCCCAGGAGAGAGGCACCTGCACCTCGGAACACAGGAATCTGCAATTATAAAACAAATAAATTTACTGGCTTTTAAGGGAAGAATGCAGTTCACTAGTTCTCCATAATTTGGTAAGATCAGAATGGGAGGATGTGAGAAAAAGAAACAATTGCCTTATGCATCAGAATTTTGAACATTGGAACCTGGTTCAACATCAAATTCTGACCTGCCCATCTCCTCCACTTGATATCCATACAGATCTAGCCTTCCTAAAGCCAGGTATTTTGATGCCATATTTCTTTGATTTAATTTATATTGTCACACATAGCATGCAGAACAATTCTTTCTCTTCTGTACTGAAAATTATTTTTAAGCATCTGATCAGACAAAAATATTACACAATTGACACACATTGTACAAGTACTGTATTGCAGCATAGTCTTAACATTGTTAAAGGGAAATTCATGAAGTTGTCAAACATTTGAAATAAACTAGATGGCTTGCAAATATTTGGAGTTAAAATAGTGGATAAATTCCCTATGTGCGAAATTCAAGTTGAGCTGTTAGGTTGACCAACAGGATGTATCCATTTCCCTTAGAAGTACTAATAATCTTTCTTAAAAATACTGTGCCTTTATCCATAATCATCATCACATACCTCTGTTCTCCGGCAAACCTGCAGTACTCGAAGTACATTTTTGCACACATTTTCAATTCTTGTGTTTCCGTGAGTACATGTTATACCCAGGATGTGCACGTTTGAAGCTGCAAGAGCCATCATCATTGCTTGGGCATCGTCCACTCCACAGTCAAGATCTAACAGCAACAGCTTTTTTGCCATTCTAAATTCTGTTAAAAAAGATTGAGCTTAATAGGATTGTTGTTCTGATAATCATACTTTGGTAGCACTGAATGCTGGTAAATCATAGAATCTGTACAGTGTGGAAGCAGGCCATTAGGCCCATTGAGTCTACAGTGACCCTCCACAGAACCTCCCACCTAATCCTTGTAACCCTGCATCAACCATGACTAATCCACCTAGCCTGCACATTCCTGGACACTATGGGCAATTTAGCATCACCAATCCATTTAACTTGCATATTTTCAGAGTGTGGGAGGAAACCAGAGCGCCTGGAGGAAACCCATACAGGCATGGGGAGAATGTGCAAACTCCACACACACAGTTGCCTTACTGTCAAATTGAACCTGTTCTTTGGTGCTGTGAGGCAGCAATGCTAACCACTCGGCCACTGTGCCACTCTTGCCTGTGGAGAGTTGTAAGTTTAATGAATGGCAAGCATTGTTTATTTTCTGCTGACTTCAAAATCCGAGCCATGATATCTTGGCAAAGTTAGTGCTAAAGCTTTATATTACATAACTCTACTGCTCCTGATAAGCTGAACAACACTGAGGTAGATTATATTGTCTCTCCCAGCTACTCGATTCCAGTATTTTGTAAATCTCTACTGCCAGTTTTCCAACTCTCACTCTTAGGCACCATTTATGTACTGAGATTTGGTGATATTTGCATTTCTCCTCTTTATAAAATCAACATTTATTGCAAAATTTAGCATACGTGAAGCAAGTGGACATGAAATCCAGAACTAAACATCTTTATATGAACCAGTTGAGTCAGGTTTGGGAATATCCAATTTCCATCTTTTTCTAACCTTATGTAGTTCACAGACCAACAATAACCTTAAACATAACAGGCAGTATTTATATTTGTCTAGGGTGGAATTTGAAAACCAGCAAATATTAATTTGCAGCCTGTTTAAAGTTCTGTCAAATTTTCTCTTCTAAACCAGAAGTGACTAACTGTTTACTAGCACATCTGGAATTATGGAAACGGCGGCCACAGGGATCACTGAACTAACCTGTATAAACTAATTTTTTGATGGAACCAACCAAACATTAAACATGTAATTTAAGTGAACTGTTCTTGACATGCTAGGAAAGGTCTCTGAATTTAGCACTACGATCACAAATGCTCAGATCAAGCACATGCTGTCCCATAGGTAAATTCCTTCGCTTTTTACCTCTATGAAACCGAAAGATCGGTTCCTTCCACATGCTCCTCCAGCACGTCCCAGCCCATCTTAGATGGAATTAGACTCAAAGTTCCCTCTGATTTTATTCCCTATGGGTGACGAGGTGTTCAGCAATCAGATTGCTTCAATCATCACTATAATTATATTCTTTTTGGCTGCCAGTTGCATTTTACATCATATTGTAAATGCTCAAATCAAGGTAATTACATCAAAATTATGAACCATTTAAGAATGAGACACCAACACCATATACTACTTACCTGGTAGACAAGATTGTAAAGTTTCTGAATCCCAGCACCAGATATCAATAAAAGTGTTCTGTTGTTTTTTTGTCTCCTTAGAGATCTGATCATTTCAGTGCTGCTCAATTGTTGATCTTGAGCAAATATTTGCTGAAGTTTTTCTCACAAGGTAGGTGTGAGCACTGTTTTCTGTGTATTATACACTAGATGGATTTATTCAGTAATTTTGCTTTTAAAAATATATTTTGTGTGTTGAATGGAGTAAAAGCCAATTTAATGCATATTATGCATATATTTAGTGATTATTTTAAAAACACATTAAACAGCTCAACAAAGAATGCTGCTATAATCTTGCGACTGGATTTAGCAATAACTTTCTGAAAGTTTCTCAGAAGTCAACACCAGCCAGATAAGCAACATCTCACGCACCTTCTGATGAGACTGGAATGCCAAACTAATGCATTATAAGCTGTTGCAGAGCCAACTGTCTTAAAGAAAAAAGACACAATAGATCACAAGTTGTAACTATCTTATAAGAAGATATGTTAATGATTCAGTACAGAATAGGTCCTTTGGCCCATCGAGTCTGTACTGCCAAAATTACTCTTATAATTACTCTTATAAATAATCTATAATTATTAATAGTAAGCCCAAGTCAGAGATGTTGGCCATTCCCTCCTCACTATCAAAAGCCGCAGACAATCCCTTCCAGGTGAAGCAGTGAGTTACCTGCACTTCATTCAATTTAGTCTACTGTATTCACTGCTCACAATGTGGTCTCCTCTACAATGGGGAGATAGATCACAGACTGGGTGATCGCTTTGCAGAACACCTACATTCTGTTGGCAAAAATAACCCTGAGCATCTGGTTGCCTGCTATTTCAACACACCACTGTGTTCTCTGGCAAACATCTCTGTCTCAGGTTTGCTGCAGTGCTCCAGCGAACCTCAGCACAAGCTGGAAAAACATCACCTCATTTTCCATTTGGGAACCCTGCAGCTGTCAGGATTCAATAGTGAATTCAAGTAATTGTTTGGGCCTGAGCACCTTCTCCCATGTCCTTACCCAAAACCCCACATAGCAGGTCTTGTTATTACATGGGCTGCTACCATTAGTAACCCATTGCCAGTTACTAATGGTCCCCACCACTAGCTATTCATTCTCACAGGCTGACCTTTACCTATTCCTTTGTCTGCTCAACTGATTTTTCTTGCTTTCTGGGCTCCATCTCAACCTTTTTTTTACTCCCTGTCCCTCCTTATTTCTAACATATATATCAACCTTTTCGTAGCTGAAATGAGTTCTGAAGAAGACCTAAAACCTTCACTCTGCTTTCTCTCCACAGATGTTGCCAGATCTGCTGAGTTTTTCCAGCAATTTCTGCTTCTGATTTCCAGCATCCGCAGTTCTTTGGCTTTTTGTCCAGTCACACAGCCTTCCACCACCACCCTCTAACACATGTGCTCCCTCATCCTTCACACATTTTCAAGCAACTTTTGTCAACTGTCTGCAAATGAAATCAGACCTGCTGAGCTTCTCCAGCAATTTTTGTTTTTGATTCTAAAATATGCCTGCCTTTCTGTCACTATGCCTTTAACACTGGATGCTTGTCTTATTAGTATTCTCAGAAATGAGTAAAAAGGAATATCATTTGCAATGAATTTGGGGTATGAGTTCTTGGTGACGTCCTGATATCTACGATAACATCCAATCATACTTTGTGGGAAGAAAAGCGATATCAAAAAAAAATTCTCAGGTAACTTGTGAAACAATCCAAAACCAAATGAGGAAAATGTGGTCTAGGTTTTCAAGTTGATCTATTTGTTGGGGGTGGGGGGGGTTTGAAGACACAGACACACCTACCTTTCTGAGGAAAATTGCTACAAATATTTGCTAAGGATCAACGAGTGAGCAACGTTGAAAGTTGTGCTTTTGATCTCTAAGGAAACCAAAGGGCTATAAACAGAAACCTCCCATTATGCGCCGGTTAACCAACCGTTCGATCTTCTCTGCCAAATAAAGTACTTGTTCAGCGCTTCAATAATTACCTTTGGTTCAGAGATATTACGAACTGCAGATGCTGGAGAATCTGAGATAACAAGGTATAGAGCTGGATGAACACAGCAGGCCAAGCAGCATCAGAGGAGCAGGAAGGCTGAAGCAAGTAAACAAGGATTTTCTGAAGGAGGTTCTAGGCCCGAAACGTCAGCTTTCCTGCTCCTTTGATGCTGCTTGGCCTGCTGTGTTCATCCAGCTCCACACCTTGTTATCTCATAATTACCTTTGGCTTTGGATTTATAGCATACCTCTGTTGACACTGCGACAACAGGAGGTAAACAAGCAAACACGGAAGAAACATGGAAGGAGGCAGTAAAATCAGAGGCGGGGGTTGTGGGGCGCCGCTGGGCTGGAAGACCTTCGGGCTGAGTTAAGTTAGCGGTGAGCCACGATCGGCCGGCTGCAAACGGCCGTTAACGGCTGTGCGCGCGCTGCCACACAGGTGTCCCTCGAGACCAAGGTGCCCGCGTTATCTATGTCTCACTCACTCCTCTGAACGCTGTTCGGGTTTCTGATGGAAGGTCACCGACCTGGATCTTCCTCTCTCCAGAGATGCTGCTTGACCTACTGATCATTTCCACGGCCCTATTTCTGCATTCTAGTTCAGAGATGTCCAGCACCTCTGCCGCCTCCAGTGATTCTGATTTTGTACCAGGATGGCATTTCACCAACATACTGAGTGTTTTGTTTTATTTTTAATTGATAAACGCCTTGGCCAAGGGTTGTCAGGTTGGAGCTGTCATGAATTTTCCAATGATTTTAACAGTCTGCACCTCACGTTAGTGTCAAGGATTTTCTTTAATGTGTGGGCAAAGCTTTCAACGGGATATTGGATAATTATCTGGAGAAAGATTATTGCAGGGGCTACAAATGGGCAAAAGGTGGCATTAGCTAAAAAGCTCTTAAGGAGAACTCTCTTACGTACAGTGGACTGAATGGTTTCCTTCTCGGATTCCAAGCTGGACTTAATGGTCTCCTTGACCTGATATGAATGTCCAGTTCCAGGAGCAGCAAATATTATAAGGAAGCAAACAATTCTTTTACGCTGACTCCCCCAGTTGGTATGTGGATCCAATTAACATCAACAGCACAGGGTTTGATCTCTGCTCTGACCGAGGTAACTCAAGGCCTGCTTCTTCACCCCACCCACAGTAAAAATTCACAGCACCCACTTCTGGTTTGGCAGATAATTGCCAAGGACTTATCTTCAGGCTTAGAATTCAAGAAGCAATTAGTTCCCTACTACACCCTATGTTTTTTTGGAAGTTAAAGGAATTTAAACTATAACAGTGAGACAGCTTGTATTGAATCTATGTATTTTTCAGTCCCCCTGCTAAATTCAAGGGGCATTCCCTGAAATGCCTAAAATAAATGGTAATCCCCTTAAATATGGAAATTGGAGATTTAATTTTGAGTGGCTCTGGTGTTCTTCAGAATCTTTAGAATCATCCCCATGTCTGCCAATTCCAGAAACACGTATTTGTTCTTGGGACTTTTGAACAGAAAATTGGGCAAAGCATTAAATGGCCACCAATAATCTACTGCCCATTTGACTTTTGCCCAAGACCACTTTATGTAACTTGTTACCATCAAGGCTATTGTTATCAGAAATACAAAAATTAAGGAAGCAGTTAAAAGGGAGAAGTGACATTTTCACCAACATCACCAAATACGTTAGTAATGAGATATATAATGAAATCCTTGTTTACTTGCTTCATTAATTATCTTTCTTGTAGTGTATCTTGAATATAAAAAGAGGAAAATTGTACGTTAGAAAATCTCTGCATTGAAATAATATCTAACAGTGGGGATTGAACAACAGTAAGCACAAGTCCACAAAACAATTGGATGAAGAGCTTGAGCCTTAGTAATTCAGTGGCCCCAAAGCCTTGTTCTTTTCAATTAATCTGGCACAAGTGGGAGCCAGTAGACTAAAACTACAATGTCAGCTCTACATTCAAATGCCAGTCAGGATTTTTGTTGTTCATGACAAATTAATGTTCATTCATTACACCATTTATTATTCTCACAGCGTCACACACACATTCAGTAGCATTACCATTGAAATGGTCATTGTAATGGACCACAAACCCCTACTAGGGCTACTTAAAGAAGACAAAATGGTGTCGCCCATTGCTTATGGTCAAATTCAGTGGTGGGCCTTTATTGTCAGTGCGTACAAGTACAAGTTGGAACACTGTCCAGGAGGCCAAGTGGTTAATGTGGATGCCTTGAGCTGCCTCCCATTGGCAGATACTCCACAGGTGTTGGCTCCCCTGGAAGACTCTATTCTAGTTTTAAACTTTCTGGACTTCCTTATGGTCACTGCTGACAATATTTGATTGTGGACACGAAAAGATCCTGTCCTGGCAAAACTAAAACAGTTGGTGGTATTGGGGGAAACGGAAGGTCCATCACAACCAGGATTGAAACATTTCTGAACCCAGTGAGACCAGATCACTGTAGAGGATGGCATATTTCTATGGGGAGTGATTGTCCTGAGTAAAGGTCACTGCCACGTACTGGCTGAATTCCACCAGGGTCATCCACGGCTTTCCAAATTGAAGATATTGGCAAGAACTTGTGTCTGGTGGCCAGAATTGGGTGCTGACATAGCTGCGTTGGTGGTGTAGTGCCCAGAGTGCCAACAAGGACAGAAATTGTTGTTAGTGACATTCATGGGAATGGCCAGGTAAACCCTGACTCAGTTACATGTCAATTATGCCAGTCCTTTCATGGGTGGAATGTTCTTGGTCATTGTGGATGCCCATTCAAAGCGATTGGATGTGCATAGAGCTCATTCAGCAAACTCAGGGACAGTTGAAAATCTGCAAGCACTGCTCATGATATACAGACTCCCGGAAGTATTGGTCACGGACAGTGGTAGATCAATTACCAGCAGGGAATTCGAGTATTTCCTAAAGTCAAATGGCATTCGGCATGTAAGGACAGCTCCATACCAGCCATCATCCAATGGTCTGGCAGAAAGAATGGCCCAAATATTGAACGCAAGCTTAAGGAAACAGCCTACAGCTTCACTCAATACCAAACTGTCCCAGTTCCTGTTCGATTATAGGACCACCACTCATGCACCTAAAGGGATAGTTTCAGCAGAGTTGCTGATGGGGATAAGACTCTGCACCAGGTTAAACCTGATATTCTTGGACTTGGTGGCAGGGGAGGATGAAATGGTAACAGGAATGCCAATGCCGGCCATATGCTCCCTCTAAGTGAGAGAGACACTTTGCTTCAGGGAATGAAGTTTCATGCCGGAACCACAGAAATGGCCCTGCATGGGTACAAGGCGAGGTCAATGTGAGATCATGTCCCGTGACTTACAAAGTTCAAGTAGGTGAGGCAGTCTTGAACAAACATGTGGACCACCTGAAAGCTGCTACCTTGCAATTGGGCGGGAGCAAAACATACCTGGCTGCTCAGAATAACCAAAATGTTCTCCCCCTTCGTCTAGCATCTAGGAAACTTCAGAGTCTGAGATAGATGTAGCCTTGATACCATTACCATGAGAAGAAGAGGAGGAAACTCTCTGGATGCAAGAAACGGGCTACATTCCAGTACAGGCCATCCGTGTCCAAGTCCGAGTCAGAGGAATTAACCTGGGGTGAAAGTGTCACAGGAGAAGCTACCAGAGAAAGAGCAGTCCTATATTCCTGGACTTAGTGGGGGAGGGAGGTGATTGGAACCAGATGGATCTTATTGACTATGATATCCTTGATTGAAGTTGTTAACCTGGGCCAATCAGGAAGCCCTGGCTGACAGAGGTAAGCAGGGATTCAGAGAGTCTCCTGAATTCAGGGACTGACTCTGAGCTGGCAGGCCACAGACAGTGCACTGTGCACATGTGAACAGAGGGTGACATGGTGACAGGATACCGACCTCTGTGCAGTTATTTTGCACCATTTATCCTATAAAAGAGGGGAATGCTTATTGGTTGGTGTAGGAGCATTACCGCGCCCC